CTTTTTGTCCACTGTCCAGGTTGTGGTTGCATTGGTCTAGAGGCAAAAGCAATCAGAACTCATGGCAGAGGTAATATCTTGTATTAGACCAACTAGATTTTTGCAAAAAAAAATTAAATTAAATTAAAGAATTAGTTTTTTGCAAAAATCTAGTTGGTCTAATACAAGATATCACCTCTGCCATGAGTTCTGATTGCTTTTTGTCCAGCAACGGTGTTGTCAGACACAAAAACCCTTCCCTCCACACAGGCACCTTGCTCTGTGCTTGTTCCAGCCTCCGGCCTTTTTTCACCCACCATTCCCTCTTCTCCACCCATGAGCTGGGGAACAGAGGTCCTCCACGAGCCCCTGCACATGGGAAATGTCACGTGTATCCACGCGAGGAAGGTGGGGTTCCCCTCTCCCCAAGCCACCCACATGGAATTAAAGTTATCTCTACAACCCGCCCCATTTCTTTGTGTTTCATACCCATGACTTTCAAGTCTAATATCTTTACAGCAATTTCAGTTTCTGAAAATCATTTCAAACATGCCTCCTTAGCAAGCTTTTGGTAAGCAGGCCAACATCTGGGAGAGGCTGTGCTCAGAAACCAAGGCTAGGTTGTGCTGAATCTGCCAGCATTTGTATCTGCATGTGTACATGTGCATAGCAATGTAGTCCCACTCTTATTTACCTCTTAGCACTGTGCTTTCTGCTGGATATGAGGGAAACCTCTGTAGGTAATACAGGGCATGTCTACACATTCATTCATTAATGCACTTTAGGTAATGCACGTTAAATCTAGTACCTCGATTGTGAAGAACTAGGAAAATACACATTAGCCCATTTTAATGTGCATTAACAAAAGAGCACATTTAAAAAAAAATGCTTTGATGAGCATTAAAATAAGCTAGCACACATATAGATGTGCCTACAAGAGGATTTAAAACAGCCTCAGCCCAGTGTTGCTCCCTCTACAGAAGCAGGGAATACTTTATTGTGAATATAGGACCCAGAGAGACCCATATAGCCTGTGCCTCCTAGGCTCTGCAGGCTCTGCTGCCTGGGGTCAAAACAGAAGTTGCTTAAATCCCAGAGTGCATTAAACCAACTTGGAAGAAATGGGTTGCACCCTGCCGCTTGACTTCCTTTCCACTGGAGAGAGGAGCTGGGGAGCCAGCTCTCAGGCATAAAGGAGTTTGTTTTAATAGTTGGAGCAGAAAGGTGTCCTGCTATCTCCTAACCCAGCCCCTGCGAACCTTCACGGCTGCTGGAAAAGATGCTTATTCTGCAACATGGATGGGAGCGATTGTTTTGTGCTGTGCCAAAATACACCCATGTGTGATGGGGCTGCTCTGTTACAGTAGAGTGTCATTCTGATGTTGCTGGAGTTAAGGGCTGATCTGTATTTGCACGATCATTGGTGTGTGTGCATGTGGGTGTGCATGTGTTTGTGCGTCCATGTGCACGTGTGTTGGCTGAAGCTCCGGATGAAGTGTCCAGATCATGGAAACGAAGGCAAGAAATTCTGCAGAGGACTGATGAGCGTGCTTAACTTCAGCACATTAACAGCGACAGGGCCGAAGCATAAGACGCAGGCTTGAGAGATTCGTGACACGCAGCACAATGATTTGAGGCTCAGATAAGTCACAAAAGCATCAAACTCCTCTTCCTTTAGTTCCCTCCTCTGCTATAACCAAATCACAATGAATAGTCGGGTCTGACCCGGACTCACGCGCATACCGAGCATTGCGAATGCTAATCGATGTGCCAAGATCATGACACAGCTTCTGAGATTGGCTTAAGCAACATGACATTTTTAAAATCATGCCCTTCCGGAAGGCTTTTTTGCATTATTTGCCTTTGGGGGGAGGTGAAGGTCTCTTGGGGGGTCATGTTTTCAAGCTTTGTCTCTTCAGCCGCAAAGGCTAGAACTGTCCCTTTTTTTGGTTTGTTTGTAAATGATAGCCAAAATGTGCACGTCATCACCAGACTCCAGCAGCTGGGACTTAAAGCACAAGACCTAATATGGTGTGAAGTAGAAACGCTGCATGATTAGCTTTACTCACACGTGTAGCTTCGTTGGAGCGCTATTCATAGGGCCGAAGTTACTCGTGTATGTAAATGCTTGCAGGGCCGGCGGGGGTTCAAGCTATAGTTGTAGTTCTCTTAGGAATAAAAGCTTTCCATTTCATAGGGGTGGTGGGGGGGTGCCCTTCCATGGGAAAAGCACCTGCCTAGATGTACGAGTATGTCAAAGCCCTAGTTTTTAAGCCTTTCCTTAAGTGTTTCAGTAAATACTAAGAAAGCTCAAGGCAATAACAGAACTTTATGACTTTTTAAAGCAGCCTCCCACATTATGCTTTAAAAAAAAAAAAGTCATATAACCTACATCTTTATCTGCTCCAGTCTGAAGGCTGCTATATATAGTTTTTGGTTATGAATGTTTTTTCCTATGAAAAGGTCAGACCTTGCACATATACAGTAGCGTAAAGCCCTGCTTATTAAAAAGCAGGCAGATGGATTTGTTAAAAAAGTCATTTCATAATGTGGCTGCTGTGAAAAGCAGCATGTTTTAGCAGAAACAGCCTCAGATGCTTTATGAGAAAAAAGAACTAGAAGAGTTTTATCTGGGCTTCAATCATTTGTTTCCCTTCCTAGCCTCTCACACTGGCATCTCTCTCTCGCACACCCCCTTTTCCCTGTTGCTCTAACACACACCCAGGCATGCACACGCACTCCTTGTCCTGTTCCTCTCTCTCACACACACACAAATGCAAACACATACACACACCTTTTCCCATTCCTCTAACACACACACAGATGCACAGACACACACTTCTTTTCCTGTTCCTCTAATACACAAACACACACTTTTCCCTGGTCCTCTCTCTCTCTCTCTCACACACACAGACGCACACATGCACACCCCTCTTTTCCCTGGTTTTCTCTCTCCCTCTCTCCCTTCTTCCCTCTCTCTCTCTCTCTCTCACACATACACACCTTTTCCCTGTTCCTCTCCCACACACACACAGTTTTTCCCATCTTAACACATATACACACATGCATACACACACAAAGCTTTTCCTATTCCTAACACACACACAGATTTTCCCATTCCTGATACACACACACACACACACACGTACACACCTTTTCCCTGTTTCTTTCTGTTTTCCCCATCCTAACACATATACACACACGCATACACAAAGAGCTTTTTTCTATTCCTAACACACACACACACACACACACACAATTTTCCCATTCCTCTAACAAACACACTCACACTTTTCCCTGTTTCTCTCTCTCTCTCTCACACACACAGATTTTCCCATTCCTCTAACACACACACACTCACATACACACACACAGACTTTCCCATTCCTCTTAACACACACACACACACATACACACACACACAATTTTCCCATTCCTCTAACAAACACACACACACCTCTTTTCCCTGTTTCTCTCTCTCTCTCTCACACACACACACAGATTCTCCCATTCCTCTAACACATACACACACAGACTTTCCCATTCCTCTTAACACACACACACAATTTTCCCATTCCTCTAACAAACACACACACACTTTTCCCTGTTTCTCTCTCTCTCTCTCACACACACAGATTTTCCCATTCCTCTAACACACACACACTCACATACACACACACAGACTTTCCCATTCCTCTTAACACACACACACACACATACACACACACACAATTTTCCCATTCCTCTAACAAACACACACACACCTCTTTTCCCTGTTTCTCTCTCTCTCTCTCACACACACACACAGATTTTCCCATTCCTCTAACACACACACACACAGACTTTCCCATTCCTCTTAACACACACACACAATTTTCCCATTCCTCTAACAAACACACACACACACACACCTTTTTTCCCTGTTTCTCTCTCTCTCTCATACACACACACACACACACAATTTTCCCATTCCTCTAACAAACACACACTCCCCTCTTTTCCCTGTTTCTCTCTCTCTCTCTCACACACACACACAGATTTTCCCATTCCTCTAACACACACACACACACTTTCCCATTCCTCTTAACATACACACACACACACACACACAGATTTTCCCATTCCTCTAACACACGCATGCACACACACACTCACTCACTCACACACACATACACTTTTTGTACCCCCACTGCCATGGAAACTCTGGGGGTGGCAGTGCACAACACTGAGCTCTTCTCTGCCCGCTCTGTTATGACCCTGGCGCCCGCCGCAGGGGCCTGGCTATGCCACATCCTAGGGGCACCCGCCTCCTGCTGACACCCACCAAGAGCGGCGGAGGCTGCGTCCCGGGGGTGCCTGTCACCTGCCCAGCCCGGGGTTTCCTGTTGCGAGCATGGTCCCTGTCTACCACTGGGGTGTTGTGACCGGAGTCAGCGTGGCTCCGGAAGTGGTGCTCTGCGCTCGAGCCCAGGAGGCTGTGGTCTCTGGTTTCCCCAGCAGCCCTGGGATGCTCACCCCAGTCTGATGGCCTGGGGCCATGCTTGGGGAGGGGCCGAGCAGCACGGGGTGGGTGCACTTGACCCCGATGGGGTGTGCTGCGCTGGGCAGGCTGCAAACAGGAGCAGGGGTTGATTAGGATGTTTGCCGTTATTTGTGTGGGAAATGCACCCGTGCCTGCATCAGGGAGGTGCAGTTTCTTTAACTGACCCCAAGTCCCTTCTGCTAGGTGACGATGGTAGAAGGAACTGCTTTCTTCCAGCACTGAACAAGGATCTTTAATAGCCGCAGGAAAACACCGAAGCTCCCCCCACCCCTCTCTCTCTGCATCACCCTAAAGCTTCCTAAACACTCCTCCCAGTTGCAACATCCTGGCTTCCTCTGCTAGATTTAAAGCAACAGCACCCACTTCCTCCCACTTTTGGGAGGGCTGGTAGTTGCCATAATGATTGCTTGCAAGCCAAGAGGGTGAAGAAGAGCCTCCAGAAACACCGCGGAGTGACAGGCTGTGGATTGTCCCTTTTTTCTTTATTGCATTTTTGGAGGTCCCAAACCACTTCAACCCCTGGATATCAAGCCACCCCAGACCAGCCCTCCCGGACCCAGTGCAATGGTACGGTGCAGCCGACAGATCCTGGGGCCTTGCTGGACACCTCCGTGCTGCTCCACGTAGTGGCAGAGAAGCAGGTGTATCCTCCGTGGGCGTCCTATGAAGTGCTGAGGCACGTTGGCTTCATTCACCCCGGGTCCCCGCGGACAGGACGATGGGCCAAACCCCATGTCTGCAGGTGCCCCTGCCCTTGCTGGCCCTGGTTATGTCATACACGTGAGACAAAGAGAGGCAACGTTCACAGGTTCACCTGACCTACAAACACCTCCTCTTCATCCCGCTGCAGAGCTGGCCTCCAACGCCTCCACGCTTATTCAACAGTTTCTTTCCCACCGTGCCGTGGCTGCCGAGGGAAAGGCCTGGCCTCACGTGCCTCCCCCACCAACGGCCTCGGCTGGAGGCCTCCCGCTCGCAGACACCCACCCCTCCCTCCCCACAGCTTTCCAGCTCTCACCGGCTCGCACTGAGGGCACGATGGAAGAGGTGCCCTGGGTCTCACGGTCCAGTCAGCATAGGGTGCTTCTCACAGCCTATAATGATAAATGTAGAGAAGCAGCAGCCGCTGCAAACCACGGGAGGCATTTCCATGCTCTTGCAGTTCTCGCGGCCAGGAGACATTGGACAAACCTGGATTATCCAGGTTGTAGCCGTGTTGGTCTAAAGGAAAAAAGCAATCGGGACTCATGGCAGAGGTGATATCTGTTATTAGACCTTGCAATTCAAGACCTGTTTTTGCAAACATCTAGCTGGTCTAATAACGGATATCACCTCTAGCACGAGTCCTGATTGCTGGAATATACAGGGCTCTCTCTGTTTGCCCCGTCGCCCATGCAGCGGTCCTGCCCTGTATGCTCCAGGACAGGACTGCACCTTCGCCCGGGCCTGCAGAAGTGTCATGCATGGTACGTTGCTCCACGCTAGGCGCCACGGAGCCCTTTGCTGTGTAGGGCACTTGGCTGTGTTAATGCCATTACAGCTGAGCAGCTCTGAACCAGCCTCGTGGGGTACCACCACCTCTCCTAAGCTCCCAGGAGCTGAGTCCCTCGGGTCACAGGGTGGGCTCTCCAGGACAGTTTCCAAATAACCTGAGCATCAAAGCTATCGCCTACTTTCACTCCAGAATGGCAAGACCTGTGCTGCACTTGGACCCGGTTGGAAGGGGGCTTCAAATGGTGCAGAGATACTCTGCCCGGAGGTGCATTGCACCAGGGGTGAATGTGACCCAGCATGGGATGGTTCTTTCAGGACAACCTTTGGGAGCTGGAACCAGAGGAACCGAAATGTAGGAAATATCAAGCAAACAAAAAAAAAATCTGCTGTTTTAAAAATGATGCTAAAATAGCTCCAGACACTGGAAAGCAGCCTGGGGCCTGCAGCCAAGCTCGTGCGTCTGGAAGCCCGGCAGCATTCGGGGGGGCGGGGGGCTACTTTGT